GGACAGTGTGCAATAGCTAGCTGTGTGTTTGCATGTGTGTTATTATTTAGTTATGTGATCTAGGGAGTACATGAAGTCTGACACACTCAAACTCTTTATTTCAAGTCTTTTTTTAGGTCCTGCATCAGTCATCTGTTCCCACTGCCAAGGACAGGAGACAAGAAGACACACTTTGTCAGCAGCCATGAAGGAGAGTCAGGCTCAGGGCCTGCCTGAGGAGACTCGCCTTTCTCTCCCCCAGCTACTTCTCAGCGCCCACCTCCACCTGCACCTCTGGCTTTAAGTCCTCAGCTACGGCACCGTCCAGCTCCAGCTCTTGTGTGTCAGTAAGCCTAACATCAGGCTGGGTCGATTCACATACTAAGTACTTTTCTACCCTCTGTCACTGTCCTACTAGGATTATATTGAAAACATCATTATATTAAGCCAACGAAGCTGTGTGTCAGTAAGCCTAACATCAGGCTGGGTCGATTCACATACTAAGTACTTTTCTACCCTCTGTCACTGTCCTACTAGGATTATATTGAAAACATCATTATATTAAGCCAATGAAGCTAAGTTTTATCAAAAAGGAAAGTCTTAAGTCTAATCTTAAGGTAGAGAGGGTGTCGCCTGAACTGAGACTGGGAGCTGGTTCTACAGAAAAGGAGCTTGATAGCTAAAGACTCTGCATTCTGTTCTACTAGTTCTACTATATGTCTGTAAACAAGGTTATAGGATTTTTTCCTTTAAGCCTATAGGAACCCACTGAGACGTGTCGAGCCGAGGAATGAGTAAGTGACAAAACACAATTTAAAGCTGAGGCTAATGGGAATGTCTTTAATGTTGCAAGTAGAGACTAAAGAGGACAAATAAAGATGTTGGTCTGATGATGGTCTTAGTATAAAGGTCAGACTGATTACAATCCATCCTGGGCGGGAGGGGGCATGAATATGTGTACAAACTTTCATGGCAAATCACCCGTAGTTGTACAGGTAAGACCAACAATGCCATACCTAGAGCTTAGTACTACATTCAGGCATAGGCTACACTAGGTAGGAGTTAGGAGCTCATAAAATTAGTTATTAAATATTAAATTAATGTAAACTGGGATTTATATCGATGCTGAAGTGAATTTCACACAGTTGCCAGCTGCTCAGACCTGGTGCATAAAGATAGCAGAGCGGAGTGAAGAGCTGAGCGAAGTGTCCTGCACATGGTAAGATTAAGATGTCACATTCATTTTACTTATCTTTTTTATTTTTTAATTTCCTCAGTATTGTTCTTTAGTATTTGTCAAACAGTATGAAGAGCTGTTATGTCTCTGCACAGCATCCATGCAGACTCAGGGAGGAACACAGTGTTTCAAGAGAAAGTAACAAAGAAAAAGGAACGAAGTTAATGAAACTTATGTTTGTTGACAACTTTTTTTTGCCATTATTGTAATTTTGACAATGATGCCTATGATTAACCATGATTATATGGAAGCTGGGCAGCAAAGATGTGAAAAGAAGAACACAAAGGCGCTTAGGCTGTCGGTCCTGAGGGTCACCTCATGGCAGTCGCCACCATGGCAACAGCAGGCCACAATGATGGACAGGCAGAGGAAGACACAGCATCATTGCTTCAGTCACAGTCATATCAACCACGCTGCTTTGCATTTTGTTATTGTCCTTGTGAGAAGCAATTTGCTCATTCATTTAGGCAGCTGCACTGGATGGAGTTCATTTCAAGTCACTGATTGAAGCCTGAAATGTCTGGTTTGGGTCTTCAGGGAAACAGAAACCATCTGGAATCAGAATATTAATTGAGCAACTGTGGCTGCGTGTTATGTATCACTGCTGATAGAGAGAGAAAGTGTGTGTTGTGCATTACTCTAATACTCAGAATAATTCAAGTCAGTGTATGTCTGAATAAATCTGCATTGAAACAAACTGTGGAGACAAAAACACCTTCAGTCGCAGATGAAGTGAAATCATTCAGACTTTATTCACTGCCATCCATCAATACAAAGCTTTGGAGCCCCTAGCTCTGATTGTCGTTAACCCATTTGTTTTGAGCCCCGTCACTCACCCAAACTCTTGCATACAGTAACCGAAATGAAAAAAGTCTCATTCTTCTCAGTTCACAAATAAGTTAATAAACAGAGGATAAATAGAGCATAAATGATCAGCATATCAAAGAGGGTAACTCTGACAATTATAAAGTATTCCATTTTCACCAGATGACCATTAACTGATTTTACTTCCCTGCAACATAAAGGCTCAGCAGACATCCAAAAAATGCTGAAGAAGTTCATTTTCTAGCAGCACACAACAAAAATATATTTAAAAAAAAAACAGCTTTGCAATGTCACTGTGAAAGAGAAGAAAGGTCAGCTAATGTGAAGATGATGAGATTTTAGTGTAATGTTTTCACAGCCCCTCTGGTATTTCCAAAAAAGAATAGGCGACACTTTTCGACACGACAGCATGACCATTAGTGAAACTCTCAGAGCAGCCAGGCGAACAACTCGTACAATCAAAAGAGCACTTAGACTCCCAGCCAGTGAAAATAGCTCATAAAAGAGGAGAAATAAGGTCATATTGTATAGCAGACAGACATGGGAGGCAAATTGTGTGCAATTACTGCACCTATTATAATCCTGTGTGCCTTTAGTTGTCCACCACAAAAATACATTTGAGCATCTGTTTATTTCCATATATTGTAAGTACTGATGGTACCTGAAAATATCGCAGCTGTGTGTCAAGTAAAAGACTATTAATCATTTCAGTTTTTTTCCTATACAGACCCAAATAATTCAAAATAAATATAATAATCACAAAAATATACACAAATCTCATGAAATGGTGAAACCCATTAAATCTTTTAAAAGTCAGTGTTACCAAACATTATTTCCTTCCGCTTTTTCTCATATTGACAGTTTCTTTCTTTCTTTTTTAAAATGATTTAATTCCAGTAGCTTATAAAAACATGTGCCTTCATTAGAGAATAATGTGAGGCCACAGAAAGGGCGTGAAGTTTGCAGGGGCCCGTTTCAAGAAGGAGGTTTTGTTGAAACTCTGAAAGGGTTAAACCTCCTTCTTGAAACGGGCCCCAGATGTATTGAAGCATTGTTTGTGTGGTTTTCATAGTTTGTCTTGCAACAAACCCTGACCGCAGGAACGTTATGGTTCAGCACTTAAGCTTTGCTGAATGAAATATTAATTTTAAAGTGACAACACTTGATTCAGTGTGCAGTTTTCACAAGTGATCTTTCTTGCTTCACATTACATAAAACATGTACACAAGGAATATTTTATACTGTTACCAGATTCCTGGTTCCATCTCTGTTGCCTATAAGGGTGCACTGAGCACCGCTGGCTCAATGGCACAGTGTTCATCCAGTGAATCGTGAAAAATAAGATTTAAAGATACAGTAATGTCCCAGTAACAAATAATACATACAGTAGTTTTAACCAACATACATCATTTCCTTCAGTTGCCATGCCAACTTGGCTGGTAAAAAATACATCATGAAGTACACATACACACACCCCCACCCTCCAGCGGTACCCTGCTAATCACTGGAGGAATAAAAGAATATAAATGATACATTAAATACGCGCAGGGTGTCTTAAAAATAGATCACAGACGAGATAAGTGGTGAGCATCCTACAGCCCACATCTGCCTCGTTTTGTCCTCCTGGACTTCCGGGTTCAGAATGAACTGCCTTCGTCTGGTCCAGCGTGTCCTTAATGAAAATGTACAGTTGTGTAACCTAAGAACATGGGCCATAGGAGGGCCTCAAGAGCAAACAATTAAATATTAAAACACTGTGACCCACAGGCTTTAGATTTTGTCCTGTCAAGCAGTTCTATGTCTTTGTTTGTGCCAGTGTATGAGGTACACCCGCTTTATTAAATCTTTCATATAGAACTGAACTTATTGCCATAACGCCCGAGATTAAAAATGGAACCCCACATCCAGCAGCCTTGCCTTAAACGTCAAGTCTCAACGATGAAGGATGTGATCCCAGCTGGTGGTCCGTGGGAGACTCCCATCAGATGTTATGGCTGCTCTTTGGGCTGAGAGCCTGACCAGAGGGTAGCAACAGGCATGAGAGAATAGAGGATGGAGGATGGAGGGAAGGGTGAAGATACACAGTCTATATGTGTGTGTTCAGTGTCTGTGTGAGTGACAGCAATACCGGGAAGCCAAGATGAGTATCCTACAGTTCTTAGGCTTATTCTCTGGATAAGGTATCTTTCTCTCTCCCCTTCCTTTGTCTAGTATGTACGAAAAGACAAAGAGTTGTTGATTGTGCTGTTGTATTAATGGTATGGAGGACCTCCATGTCCGTCTGGCCTCTTAGGAGGCCTCACAGCGGATCCCTTTATGACATTATGTTTCTCTCAAGAATTTTAAGTGGCATATGTTAGGGAGAGAGGGCAAAAGAGAGCTCAAGCAGCAGAGACTGAAAGCAAGTAACATGACACTATACCAGTGTGATACACACAAAGACCCCTCTGTCCCTCACAATAGGTCTGATATCACCACTTCCCTATTGAGTCCTGGTTGCACAAAACAGATTTGCTCCAAAGGTGCACAAAACTCTCCCATGTTGTCAGATGTGCAGAGATGTGCAATGGAATTTCACAGTGGATTTCTCCTATCCTTGTGTCTGCCAACTTGGATAATCTTTTACCAAATCAAGTCCAAGTCTCACTTCTTTTTCCTCATTTATTTTTATCCTGTCCCAAACTCTGCTTGGAAGGGACAGGAGAAACACTGGTTCGAGAAAAAACAGTCCTTTTCCAAGGACACCCTATCATTGGCATGTGGGTCGGGATGGGGAGAAAAATGCAGTCTGTTGGGCACTCACATTATATTTAAAGAGCCCATGGCATGTTTTTCCTTGTTTTTTTGACTTATCTACAATGTTACAATGGTGAATTAACATCTTAGACATGACCTAAAGCTCATAAAATGAGGTGGACATATGTTCTAGTACTTCTATGCAGAAGCAACTCGGTTTGTACATGTCTCGCAAACTCTCACTTGTGAGATTTTTTTTTCGAACAAAATTTAAGGACTTCCTTGAATGGTCATAATTCCCAGGCAGTTGTACGTTTATTTGAGCTTGCCTGACATCCACCGGTGCTATTTTATAAGTGGAATTTTTTGAGTGCTCGCAGTTTTGTGGATATATTTTCCCTCCTGCTGCTGCACTGTGACCAGAGGATGTGGAGGAAAGTACAGGGCCTGAGGTTACTACATGTCCGGGAATGCTCCTGTACAGGGACTTACTGTTTTAGCTGAGTGGGTCTAACCCACAAGCAGCCGGCCGGTGAAGCCCCCAATGGCAGTGAATGATCAGCTCATCAACACTGGAATCCCCCGAAGCACAGTACAGTTTGTTTTGACTGCTTGAGGCCAGTAAGTTAAAAAAAAAAACACATGTTGCATATCTCTTAATGTCTTGTTAATGTAACATTAGAGAGAATTGTTGTAACGCTGGAGAAGTTGCTATGTCTGCATTATGCCAGTTAGAATATGGGGTTTCTCAGTTACCTGCTTTGTTTAGAGTGTTATACATCTCTTTTAATTGGTACATATACAGTTGTTTACCTATCTTCGGAGGAGAAATTCAAATAAATTAATGCCGTCATGGTATTAATTGTGCTGTCCACTTTCCTCACAACACCAGCAGCAGGAGGTGTGCACATTCATGAACTATCTCGTTTTCAGGAAGATGCTCTCTGGTTTTTTCATTCTGAAACAATTACAGACTATTTGGAGTTAAGATGAGTACCAAGCTAATCTAGAGGTACCCAAGATTAAACATTAAATGGCTGGAAATGAGCAAAATGAGCATGCCATGGGCTCTTTGAGTCTCTTTTGTAGTCTATCAGGCCTTCGTCTGAGAGGATTTAGACCCCTAACTTTGTGGTCTGACCTTAAGTTCCTGCAGTAAACTTTGAGTCAGGACTAGAGGCTGCAGGTGATGGTTGATTATTGTCCACTGGAGGGTGCCGAGGCAGGGCTGTTTTCATGGGCTTCTGGTTGCGATGTAACTGCTGCAGAGGTCGGAGCTGGATGCTTTGACGGTACCGCACTGATTGGGAACGTAGAAGAACCCGTGTGTACTGGACCTCTGGCATAATGAGCTTGAGGCAGAGCTCCTGGGCCTTGCTCAAGAAACCATGGCTGAGATTTTCCGGGAGGTCATAGCCCACAATGTCAACTGTTCTACTTGGCTGCCAAGGGCGGAGTTCCTCATTTTTGATCTCTGCAGCTGTGCGGAGACGCGGCATCCGCTCACCGAAGCAGCTTCTCATCAGCTTTTTCTGGGCTTGCTGAAGGAGTCGCACCTCCCTGGCCACACAGGCTGGACCCAGTTCTGACAGTTTGAGCCACAGTGAGGTGTTGAAGTGGTCGTAGAGATGTGCATCTAAGGAATTCCAGGCACGGATCTTTGCAAGAAGGTCCGGTGTCAGGCTTTGCTTGGAGCTCAGTGTCCGCATGTTGAGCTTAACATACAGAATGTCATTCAGATCCCAGGAGAGGAGATGGCGAAGGAGAACCAGTGACTCATCAAAGTACTCAGCAATCATCACCAGGGAAAAAGTTCGCTCCACCTCTGACGCAAAGGCCTGTGCATACGCCACATCTGTTGCTGGGCGATCCTTGTCTCCACCCAAGTCAAAGGTCAAGGTATTGTGTGCATACATGGAGTATGTTTCATGTGGTCGGTAGTATTGTGAGGGCTTCTCTAGGAAAGCCTCCAGAGAGCTGTTGGGGACCCTTTTAAAGGTCAGACAGTGCTGACTGTAGTAAGTGAACAAAGATTCAAACATGGAGCCAGGCTCTCTCAGTATTGTGACATATATTGTATCGTTTGGCATCAGGCGTTGCAGCTCCGCCTTGTTAAACCGCATGTGGCTGGTGATGATGTTTGGTGGCAGCGTGTGTGGATGGACAAAGTGAGAGGTGAAGCTACGTGGGTAGCAGAACTGATGGGTGCAGGCCTGCACAGGTAATGCCACCGTCAAGTTGTTGCGCTCTGCAAAGCGGAAGAACATGTTCTGCATGGTGGTGCTGGCTGTTTTGTGGGTCTTGAGGAAGGCCACATTGGTGTGCTTAGGTTTCAAGCCCGGGCCAGTGTGAGAGTGGAGGGCAGGACAACCGAGATGGAAGACCTCCATGGCCCTGGAGAAAGAATAATGGAGTGTAATTATTAACTCCAGAAAAAGGGAGTAACTGAAGAGTGCAAGATCATATAAGGTGTGTCTGAATTATTTGTACTTATACTGTGGCTCTGTGATAAATCAACATTACAATTTATTTCCACTTTCAGTGGAATCATAGTGTGATGTTATGTTGTGTTCTTCACATAATTCTGAAATCCCATCTGATAATTGGCAACATATTGTATATAAAAACTAATACAGTGTTGTGTTGCGTGTGTAAAGAGTTTTGACTAATGTCTGGTTCAGACTACACAATTTAAGCTCAATAACACCCTGACCTGATGGTTTGTAGGGAGTCAGAACCAACAAACATGACAATCGATCGTTTTATCTCATATACTGTAGTGTGTCACAGTAAAGGACAACTGATGCTGCATCTGGGATGCCTCAGGACATTCAGACTCAAAATCTAGCATATGCTAGAATTTTTTTCATTGCATATGACGTGGTAGGCCAACGCTGACCAACTGGAGAACAGATTGCTCTTCTGTTCACTGTTATGGTTTAGTCCCCCTCACCAGGAGGGTGAGAGAGAACTGGGGTTGGACTCAAGATGGCTGACCCAGGTGCTAGTACAAAAAAGGTGGTTTAATGGAATAAAAACAACATGACAACATAACAGGGTCCATAATACATACAACAAGGGAAGGGCAGTGATGACTAAGGAGACCAGGACGGTAAACACACAAACTAACAACAGGAACTAGGATAGCAAAGGATGAGAACGGACAGGTGAACAAAAAGAACCAACGTAAACAATGTAATCCACAGCACAGGGACTGTCAGCGTGGAAGACAAAGCACGTATTTCTGTGTTGCTAACCGCATAATTAGTGTGATAAGGTCAAGCCAAAACGCACAGAGACTGGCAGCGTAGCATCTTACACACGTCTAAAAATGCGGGTCAAACATAATCTTTTAACTTACATAGGACCACGTCTAAAAATGCGGGCCAAACATAAACTTTTTAACTTACATAGGGTAAGTATTGTCCGTTACATGTCGCAATGCTCCGGCCACGACGGTGCATCTGCCAGAGGTATAAATAAGGAAGCCAACAAATCACCGGAATACGCCTCAGGTGTGCGCACCGACCCACGAGTCACTAATTACCCGATGCGACACAGCTGAGGCGTTGATCCCGCAAAAAGGGAGAGCAGGAGAGGAAAAAAAAGAAAGAGAGGCAGGGCGGGCCGAGCGGACCTATAGTTCACACACTTTTGGCATATTGGCCTGAACCATTCTCATTAAATATCACAGTGATACAGCTAACATTAGCATATTGACTTTGAGCTTTGTGAAGTAGCTACCCTATAGGGCTAGCTAGCTAGTTTTTGGTTTTACTACCAGCTTAAAACACTACCTCAAGGTCTTTGTGAATGACAGACAATACAACTTACAACCCACAGACAGGTCCACATTTTTTTACACACACAAGCAGCCAGAATCACACATGACACAGACGCTATTCTGTGATTACATTGTCACGCTCCCTGGCGCCTCCAAGTCATGAACAACGGCAGGCTGTGATCTGTGTGGTACCAACGTGTTGTCTGTCATATTCCTTGTCCAAGAATTTATGACTCTATAATTGTGAAATCTGATATAGTGTATACAAATTGTGTAGTCTGAACCAGGCATTACACATATTAAATGTTATTTTAGGATTTTTGGTGTGATTTACATTTCTTTTCAAGATATGTATTCCTGGAAAAATATTTTTATTAACATGGTGACAATAATTTCAGCAATATGTTCCAGCCTACTACACACTGGCCACATTTTAGCATGTGCAGTGTGATCTTGGAGCAAATAAAACGTTTGAAGTAACATAAAACCTTTGCATCCCCCCAGCAAGATGAGAAATTATGACACAAGATACATCAGGAGCTTCGGTTTGGCATGAATATTCATGTTGCAATTTTTATCATAGCATAAAAGCTGAATATATCACAATAAAAATATATTGCTTTGCGCATACGTAACAAATACTCTGCTGTTTTACAGCATGTAATATTCACTGCAGACTGTGGAAACAACAAAGTAAGACAGTAAAGGCAGGAAAAGTAAAACTTTAAGATGAAGAGGGCATAAAGACAATAGAGGGCTGTCAAGGATCTACGATCCCTCTACTTTTATAATTGGTCCCTCGAGTGTCTTGGCAATGTATCTGCACTCAAATTGTCCATATCTTAGTATTATAACAGTCCCTTTATTATTTTACCTTTAAAAAAATGACAAGCTGCCATCATCAGATTTTTCACTGTGATTAGCAGCATATGGGCTTATAGCGTCATAGAGTGTATATAATGTGAGTGGGTGTGTATTTGCATAAGTGTGGGTCTGTTTCAATCACTCACCACATCAAGTGGCCACCATGGTGCAGCAGAAGACTGACAGTACTGAGGGCAATTAAGGCCAGGAATAACTTCTTCTGCGACATCCTTTGCTTCACTGGGATTGTGGGAGAAAGAAAAGAAGAGTGCGAGTGAGGTGGATAGAAAACATATAGCATGAGGTACGCATCAGAAGGAGGGCAGGTGGAGGTGGAGCGAGACAGCAAACAATGGGAATGAGGTGGAAGAAGAATGAGGGTGAAAAATGAGGAAGGAACAAGAGGAGAAAATGAGCAGGAATTGCAGAGGGAGAAAAGATAAACAGGAGCAAAAATGGGGAGTGAAAGGACAAGAGGAAAAGGGAAGAGAGAAAGCAAAGAGGAAGAGGGGCATGGTGAGAAGGATTTAGTCAGCATATAATTGCTGAGATCCATTAGCAGGAGAGGGTAGTGTGGCTTCTGTCTCTCTGTTATAATACCATAAATGACACCTTCATTATTTTCCACAGCTGTATGAGTCATATTTACTGTTACACCTTTTTATGAGCTCTTGGCTTAAACCTGGACAGATGGCCACGTACATTAGGTCAGACATGCATACATATGTGAAAAACCAACAGCACTTCACAGTGAGAGTGCTCTGAGGCAGAAACACCCCATGTCACCTGACACCGCTGAAATGCTATGACAGCAATGGAACCTGGGAAGGAGTCCAAGTTTTTTTTTTATGGAATCTGATTTGCATACCTGTGACTGAGATATCTCTATCCTTGATTACATTGTCCTGTCACCATCCATACACACTATGTATAGTACCACTTGGTGAATGCCTTTACCTAGATCATATTACTTATATCAAATCAGTGCATTTAAAGTCTTTAAATTCAAAAACCAAAATCATGAAAAAAGACAATAAAAACAATTAAAGCACAGTGTCCAGCAAATAGTGTCCCTTCTAAATACAAAGAACATAAATAACAGCATCCTTCATGTGTAAATTAAGCAGATGGAGAAAACTGAGACAAAGGTTCAAGTTTAACCAAAATACTTTTTTCCCAAATAATAATTAAACATTCAGTGAAGAATTGACAGCTGAGCTGGTGCCAAGATGAAGAAGATTAAGAGAGAAACATCAACACTGACATCCATTATTTCCACTTCTGAAATGCGTGAACAGCTGGGACTGCGCTGCTTCAGTGGCTGCGCTCGGTAGGAATGTGCATAAACAGACGTGGAAGCAGGTACAGGCGCAGACACAGAAGGGCGCTGATGCTCTGTGCCCAGCTCTGACTGATGCACAGATTACTATAGACACAACTTGGATAACTGTTGGCCTATAATCTTACATTGTTGAGTCAATGTTTTTACAAGACAAGCATGTTTTGCGCATCCATATACAAGTAGGCGCACACATTCCTATCCTGGCGCTCTAAAGGTCAAGGCGCGTCATTAAGTGCTTCGGGGCATCTTAACAGATGTTGAGGGAAGGGAGTTCATTGCTTATACATAACCCCAATGTACTCAGCCATTCTGGAAAGCTTTAAGTCTACACCTGCCCCCCCCCCTTTTTTTTAGATTTTCTCTCATAGCAGAGTGGCCAGTTTGCTTCCCTTCAAACCCTGGACACTGATGAAACTGCAAGGGCAAAAGGCTACAAACGCAAGTTGCGGGCAGCCTATAGTTTCCAAAGTTTCCAGATTCCACACCAGCTCTAAACAGGTTTAGATTATGTTATTTACAATAAATAAATACAGGTAAAACAAATTTGTTTACCCAGAAATAACAAAATAGATCTAGATCTGACTAGTTCCAGCAGCAACAACAAGATGCCAAACTGGTACTAATCACCGCAGACAGTGCGAAGACTTCATGCCAGAAGAAATTTAGTTGTGCCATGCATAATGACCATAAAGATTCTTGACTTCCTGACTTGAGACATGGTCTTTCCTAACCACAAAACAAGCAATATATTTAACACAACAAATCAGTTGCAACTGAGCAAACCAATATGAAAAAAAACAAACTTGAAAATTAAAACACTGTGGAGCAAACGTGGTGACAGGTCCAGATATCTGGCTTACAGGCGCCGCACCGAGGCGACCTGCGATAGACATCAAAACACCCGCATCCATTATTTTTAATAAAAGCCCCCAAACCAAAGCCGAACTGTCATGCGTGAAAGCTCCAGGATACGCTGCCGTCCTATATCCCCTACGTTCACGCGCGTTGGACACATAAAATACTAACATACTTACCCATTTTGTCCCACACTGAGTTCACGCTGCTCCCGGTGTTATGGGAGCCATGTGCCACTTCTGGTGATGTTATGATTTGGGTCATGTGGGTGAGGTGCCAGGAGGGTGCGAGTGAAAGGGAGTTTTAATTACGACACGATGAAGAATAATGGAGGTGTTGTCTTAGTCCTTAAGAACCAACAGCAAGTTTTATAATGAAAAATTAAATTGTAATAAAAATAAAACATTGTATTAAAGTTTTATTCGCTTTTTTACTTTTTAAACTTTCGTTTACTCACTTTTTTTTTTTTACAAACCTCGAACTAAAAATGAAGTGCGATATTTGTACTTCTCCAAATATAAACAGGTGACAGAAGACTTTCTGTAACTACTGAGACACGGTTCTTTTTGAAATGTGTGAAGTCTGTATGTGTCACTTTACCTCAGGTTGGATAACTGAAAAAACTTATTCTGCAGCCGGAGATATTTATCCCCCTCAACACCAGTCAGTCAGAACTGATGAGGCCTCTTGGATGAGAGGTGAAACGTCTTCGACCTAGAAATCTAGTCCAGTTGATTTTTTCTAAGCTTTTTCAGCTTGCTATGACCTGGATGACTGAGAATCTGCACACTCAGGTTGGATACGCTGTACAAATGCACGGATTGCGCGTTTAGCCAGTAATTCCCTCAATGTGTGCCTTGCGCCAGAGATTTGGACATCGTTTCCCCATCTCCAAGGTGTTTCTGTCGCGAGAGAACACTCGCCCCATACACACTCATGCACGAGCCTCGCTCAAGGTGCACATATGATGACAGCTAAGCTTTCGGCCTGTGCCACTATGTGCGCGACGTGGACTGTCGTGCCCCTAAATATGATCGATACAGAGTGATCAGCCATTCACGCTGAAAACTGGGCATTTCCCTTCTCCGCAGTTCAATCGGTGCATCTCTGGTATAAATGGGACGAATTAATGTACAGTTTGTTAGTTCTGGTGATGCTTGACATACTGTAGTATCAGTTCCACTCTGTGCACTGGTAAATCGGTTGCTTGTGGAGATTGGGGGAAACGAGGTGGCAGACTGAGCAAACTGGAGGTGTATGACAGGCTAAATAGCCCTGTCTGTGCATTCTTGGACCAAAAAAACTGAGCGACTGGATCCGGGTCTCTCGGGACTGTAGGGCTTGTTGGGTGTTCCCTGAATGCAGTGGTTAATGCCTGTCAACAGTGTCTAAGAAAAGACACAGTGAACCAATGACAGGGTTAACATGCCCAAGGCTCACTGGTTGATCTACTGTAAACTTTACATTTCATTCATCCTGTTCAAAAGATTCCTTTTTGTTTGAACTGAAAGACATCACCCAGTTCTTCTAACCAGGAACTCAAAGAGACGAAGCGGACCACTTGGATATATAAAAAATAACCGTGCTGGTTTATTCAAAGGATCACAGGTAAAATTAACATTACACGTCCAGGCATCTTCCACCCCCAAACCTGCGCGCAGGCAGCATGGAGGATAAAAGACCCTGAACCCTCATGCCTATACAATTTTATCCCTTGGTTGGGCTAGCCCATGCTACACAGGAACGTCAACCGTGACGTCACCTGATATGCCAGCTTCACAGCTGGCCGTAGCAGTAGTCAAAACATGGAGAGAATCAATGTGTGTGTGAGTGTTGATCATGTGGTGTGTATCTAAAAACATACAGGACGTTCAGGGACATGTCCGGACATTAAGCCTCGGAAGATATTATGATTAAGATTACGGCTAAACATATCATAATAATAACAATATTCATTCTGCCTGCTGACTTTTTCTATCTAGTTGTCCTTGGGGCATACCAGCAGCCTGCAGAACTCATGACAATGAACTAAGCATTTAACAGCCTGAGCTAGACATCCTGTCTCCACTAAACTAATACAACAAATATCTAATCAATATCTATCTGACTAAGAAATTACCTAACAACTGTTAGAAGACAGGATGTTTAATATTATTACTATGATGTGTATAACTGTAATCGTAATCATAATATTTTCTTATGTTTAATGTCATGACATGTCACTAGATGTCATGTCAGAATGTTTTTAGATACACACCACTTAATCAACAGACACACACACATTAATTTTCTTCATGTTTTGACTACTGCTATGGTCAGCTGCAAAGCTGGCACCAGAGACGTCACGGTTTGACGTTCCTGTGTAGAATGGGGTTAGCCTAAAGTGATATAATGTATAGGCCTGTTGTGGTTCAGGGTCTTTCATCTTTCAGCTGCCTGCGTGCATGTTGGAGGTGGAAGATACCTGAGCG